GGGGAGGGGGGAGGGGGGGCAGGAAAGACAGAGAAAGGGCGGACAGAGGGAAGGTAAGAAACGGAGAGATGGTAAGGTTGGTCTCGAGAACTGAAGGGAATATGAATTCTGGGAAGGGAAGCCGCCGTTTGTTTTGCCAATGACTCCACTTCCCAGTCCTTTCAGAAGGGCCGCTCAGTTCTGGTCCTGGGTGGGTTTCGGCTCCTGGATCCATTCTGGACGGGACGCCAGGGCTCCCGGTGCCTTGAGAGTCTGACAACTGAGAGCACAGCAGTTTCCTCTGTTATGTCAGCTTGAGGTCACCTCTCTTAGGCTCAGGGAGAAACCAGTCTTCTCCCCAGCACTGAATTTTCTATCAGTCCACAGGGGCCTTGGACAGACGGAGAGACGGACGGTTCGAACACAGACGCAAACGCCTGACTCACTTCTGCTAAAAGAATTCTCCTAAAGGCCAATATCGTTTCCTGCCCTCCCTGCTGTTAGCCCAGCCGGAGGGGAGCATGCTAACTGCAAGAGGGAAGACACTCAAACACGTGCCTCCGCGGGACACCACAAGCCAGGTCCTGGGGGGCGGCGGCGGGCGCTCTTGCACGAACTTGCTCGAAACTCCACCAGGCAAAATACCTCTGGATTTGAAAGCTCCGGTCACCCCACTAAGAACTCTTAGTCTATTTATTGAGAATTAACCTGTGACTCATGCCTGGGTGAAAACTGCAGGCATCAACAGCATTACCTTATGACGCGTGACCCCTCAAATACCCTAAAGATGAATCACAGGTCACGGAGACCTACTCCTGTTGGGATTTCAGGGCATGACAATGTCCTGCGAAGGTTTTAATCCACCTTCTGAAAGAGCCTGTAAGTGGGTCAGGCACAGCAGGTACCAGCAGCCCAGCAGCCCCAGAGACAGCCTCATCCGCAAGTTCAAAGCTCTAACAAGTCCCACTGTGCTGCGTTGTGATTAAATGAATCTATCACAATTATTTTTTGCTTAGCACAGCAGCTTCTATTTGCACACAAGCAAACCCAGCAATCGGAGACGTGTGCTCTCACTCCTAATTGCAGCCAAGGCCCCAGGTAGCTCTGCTCTTTTCCTATGTCTCTCCGTGCCTTGTTTTTCTTCACAAACACTGCGAAGAATAAAACAGAAGCTTTGTAAGAGATTTTCAATATGCAGCTCCTGACACACACTCTGCTGTCCTGACCTGGGAGCAGCCAGCGCTCCTGAGCTCACGCATCTGGGATTCCTCCACAGCGGAGATTCACGCTCCGCCGCGAAGCCCGGCAGACAGCAGGCGCTGCAGACATGCCAGATGCCAACCCAGCGCAGCGTCTGAGAGCCTGGGCTGCAGGGCCCGCTGCCCGGGTTTGAGCCCCAGCTGGCACCCATCACGGGATGGTCACAGCACTTCCTCACAGTGTTGTCTGAGGATTAAATGACGTCATCTTTGTTAAGGACATAGAACTGAGCCTGGCACGTAAGTGCAATATAAGAGTTTGATGAATAAATATTAGGACAAGTCTTATTTTGAGGATGAACTTAGCTCACAATCAGGGAATTCTAGAGCCTCCTCTAAAACAACTGAAACTCTGCCCTGGCCGGTGTGGCTCAGTTGGCTGGGCATTGTCCTGTGCACCGAAGGGTTGCCAGTTCAATTCTGGGTCAGGGCACATGCCAGTGTGGGGCGTGCAGGGGGCAGCCGATCAAGGTTTTGCTCTCATATGGATGCTTCTCTCTCCCTCTCCCTCACTTTCTCTCAAAAAATCTTAAAAAAATGAAAACAATGAAACAACTGAAACTCACCAAGTCCAGGTCCTCCTACTCCTCAAAGGAGGGAACCAGACTCAGAGAGGCTTAGCACAGGCAGGGAGTCACTGGCTCATGGGAAACCAGATTCTCCATCGGTGATAATTCCACCCCCAGCCTTTCCCACGTCTCCCGCAGGCCGTGAGCCTTTGTGAGGGACAGCAGCAGGAAAACTGCCCCAGGGAGGTGTCCTCCGCCTCGGCCTCCTGCTGACAGCAGGGACAGCAAGACAGGCGTGGACACGACAAACGGACCCCTGTCCAGGTGCAGCGGGGAAGGGCTCTGCTGGGCCCTGGAGCGCCCTTACGGCACAAACGCCACTGATCAGCGACAACGCCACCCTGTAGCCCGGACACAGTCACGAGGCCCTCGGAAGGTCAGGCCAGCGGCCATCTGTGCTTTTTAACGCAAAGCTCCACGAAGACTGACGTGGCTTCCGTGTTTTATTCCGAATGTGTGACCTGGGTTAGAAACCCTCGATTTCATTTTGCTTTTATACTCTGCGCTTCTCTTCAAGGGTAAAATCGGGTGAAAACATGAAAAATTTGTAACGTCAA